TGTACCCTCTCTCTGTCTCTCCCTGTCAAATAAAATCTTTAAAAAATATATATATATATACATATAAAATATAATGAACATTAATTTCAGATAGAGAATAAAACCAGGCATACAATTAAAAATATCATGTCTATAAACCAAAGAAATTTAGTCTCAAACAGGATAACACATAAATTAACTTATAAGGTAAAATAGGTGATTTTTATAATGAAAAAATTAAACTATAAAACCTTTAATAGCAAATATTAGTATTTTTATAACCTTGAGGTAAAGAGAAAAATTTTAAGCATACCCTTCCAAATCAAAAACAATAAAAAGAAGAAAAATCAATCTATATAGCTACATGAAAAGTAAAAGCTTATGTACGAAAGAAAAATACAACACAGCTACATACAAACCAATCACAGATTGGAAAAGATATCTTCAAATACACTAGGAGTATTTATTCCATGGTCTTTATAAAGAGCTCTTTCACATGGATAAAGAAAAATTTAAAAACCTCAAAAGAAAAATGTACAAAGCCTAAGGCTGGGCAATATGAAAGTCAATAAACATCTAGAAATCATTCCACTCTCTAACAAACAGATACTTTTGAAAAATCCATGGGGCGCCTGGCTGGCTCAATGGGTAGAGCATGTGACTCTGGACCTTGCAGTCATGAATTCAAGCCCCATGTTGAGCGTGAAGCCAACTTAAAATAAATAAATAATCAATCCATTATTTTGCCTTTACGTATGACTAAGTGACAAAAATTTAAATGAAGATGGGGCGCCTGGGTGGCTCAGTAGGTTAAGCATCTGACTCTTGGTTTCGGCTCAAGTAATGATCCCAGAGTCGTGATAGCGAGCCTTGAATGCAGCTCTGTGCTCAGCGGGGGGGGAGGTCTACTTCAGATTCTCTCTCCCTCTTCCTCTTCTTCTGCCCCTCTCCCAGCTTGTGCACAGGCACTCTCTAATAAATAAATAAAATTTTTAAAAAAAAATTAAAGAATACTCAGGCTTAGTAAAGGTACTAGGAAAGGGTCAGTCCCACAGGCTACTGGTGAGAATCAGATCAGGCAATATAAAATAAAAGCCTTAAAAAAATCATTGTCTCTAACAAAAACTAATGATGTAATGTATGGTGATTAACATAACATAAAATAAAATTTAAAAAAAAATCACTCTCTTTCTCCACACTATATGTCTAGGGGCATATGGTCAGGTTCAACAACACACACACACACACACACACACAGCCTGGCAGGTTATACACCAAAATATTAACCATGATTATCGATGGTGAGATTCTGGTTATATAAATTTTATTTCCTCTCTGCTTATCTGTGTTTTCTAATTTTAATGAAATAACTTTACTACTCATATAATTAAAAAAGTGCTTTCAATTTATTTCAAAAGAATTTTAGATAGGTAACTTTAAATTTCAGAGAAGGGTGCCTGGGTGGTTCAGTCAGTTAAGCATCTGCCTTTGGCTCAAGTCATGACCCCAGGGTCCTGGGATGGAGTCCCGCATCGGGCTCCCTGCTCAGAGGGGAGTCTGCTTCTCCCTCTGCCTGCCACTCCCCCTGCTTGTGCTCTCTCTCTCTCTCAAATAAATAAAATCTTCTTAAATAAATTTCAGAGAAAATTCAAATAAGATCATTCCACTAAAAGAAACTATAGAATATAAACTCAAAACCAAAAAAACAAACAAAACCCCAAAACGGGAAAGGGCAGCTCATACTTTAATTCATGGGACATAAACAGACTTCATACCAACAACCTAGTTTTTAATGTCATTTCAGAAAAAGGCACTAATATCACAGCAGTTTAGCTCCCCTAATTAAAAATATGAGAAAAATGTGAAAAATAATTTTAAAAGCCTCCAAACTAGGAAAAAACTGCTTCTAAAGGCCCAGTTATCTGAGACTGTCAGGGAAGCCTGAGAGAAGAGTGCTATAGACACTTCCGGTTTTCATACACACTGTGTCATGTCCTAACTTTATGTCTCCAGAACCAATTAGGAAGGAGTCACCCCCTCCTCCATTCTTACTGACTCCAGATGCCTCTAATGGCTCACAGTCTACTCACCAAACTGTTGCCATTAACAAAATCTATTTTCACATACCTGGAGTAACACTCTCTGTCAAGAGCTAGAGTCTACTTTTAAATCGGATTCAATGTACCGCCATAAATGTCAGAATGCTTTACCATTGGCCATGAGAAACTTAGGGATTAAGTCCACGTTCCAGTCTCTTCCTCTCCCCATCGATGCTGGTGGTGCTCCTGGTATTTTAAATCGTTTGTATAACTAAAACCAAAACAAAAATGACCCATAATGTAACAAAATTTACTTTTCATTATGCTATTCTTCCACAACGTGGTTTTGGTATAATAACTAACCACCAGAGGATGAGGTAAAGTATAACGGCATTTCATTTTTTATCAGATAAAATTTTTAGAGAAATCCCAATACACAGCTAAGTTAAATACACTACTAATGAATGCTAAAATAAGTATTACAGAGGTAGTATTTTTTACTAGCAGAAAAGCAAGAACACAAAACAATTTGTCAATAACACACTAGCTCTGCAGATACACCATTTGTAGAAATCATTTAAACTCATTCTCTCCTGAATAAAAAGCTAACAAAAAGGCTTAATTTTGCTTCCGTAGTTATGGAAGGAGTCAAAAATAAATTCTGGATTCTTCAAATCAAAAAAGACAATTAAAGTTAGTTCCAGCTAATTTATAAGTTTCATGAGTTGAGCAGGAGCTCTAGATAAAAAGAAGCTTATGGTCTAAAATTTGGGAATACTCATTGCTAACGTGGAAGCGAATAAGCAAAGCTGGTATATTTACTAATAAAAAATCCCCAAGTCCTTGAGTATATTCACTGGGGAGGGGCAAAAAAGCTTGCTCACCTTACTGAAGACTAATAAGTGTAGGCAGGGTGGAAGTAATGATGCCAACTTGTACAGATTATTAACAATGAAGAGATCTGGTGGTCATTGCTTTACCTCGGGTGAGAGTTGGCATCATGAAGAGTGAGGGAGTTCAGACATTCTATGCTTTCTGATGTGATGCAATATGAACTACACAACAATGCTTTCTTATTATAAGCTAGCTTGGACTTTTCGGAAGAAAAAAAGTGGGGAGATTTCTGTAGACTAAAAGAATAAAGAGAAACAACACCAAAAGCAATGTTTGAAGTAGTTAAAAAAAAACAAAACAAAACACCGCCACCACACACAATAAGACATTCTTGGCATCACTGGGAAATCTGACTGTGGTCTGGATATTACTGTTAATTTCCTTAAATGTGATAACGAATGATATTATGATCACGTTGGAGAATGTTATTTTTAGCCAGTGAATGCTGAAATATTTAGGTCAAGTATCATGATGTCTATTACTTTCAAAGATTCAAACCAGTAACAAAAAAAGACATAAAGCAAATATTGCAAAATGTTAACTGCTAAATCCAGATGGAAGGTTGATCCACTGGTATTATTCTTTCAACTTTTCTGTAGGCCTGAATACAGAAAAAAATTTTGATAAAAATATGAAGTCTATTTCATCAGTCATGATTGATAATAACTGATATCTGTGTATCTCTGGTAACACGCAGTACAGCTTGTATCCACGCATGTGGATGCTGAACAAACCTCACAGAGAAATATTCAGCAAAACACACTTTGGAAATGCTTCGTTTGCCCAGTCTAAAAAAGCAGGAAGCAGGGGAGTAGAGTAAAAGGAACTAAAGCTCTGGAGTCTTACAACCTAGGTTCACAATCCTTCTCTGTGATTTTAGTAACACAGACTACTTTGTCATCTGAAAAATGGGGATAAAAATCCCTCTTTGACTAACTGGAGGGACACATAAAACTAGGTGGAAAGCTCTGGCACTGTGCTCGGCATGTATTAAATCCCCATCCGAAGTCCATACCCTGCCCTTCAGGAGATAACCGATAACTGCTGCAGATGGCAGTGAGGCTCCAACTGACGGGTCAGCAAGCCCTAAAACTAGCCGGCCCTGAGAAAATGGGAGGCTACAGACAGTCTAGGTAAGAAAACCAAACCTATCCATGAGGATAAGGCTGAGACGCACGAATACAAGTTTCAGAGAAGGAAAGGCACACGAGTTTGCTCCAATGCTTACATCGTCCAGGGGTGTTATAGATGCACTTTCTCCTCCGTAATATGGGTTTCTGTCCATGTGAAGAACTTTCTTCCCATTCACTGACATTATACCTGACAGGATACATTCCTACAGGGAAAGCAAAAGTATCTTCAAAAGAAGTGAAGTGTTACCACATGTTTCAAACAGACACTTCCCCCCACCCCGCCAGCTACTTTTTTTTTTTTTTTTTTAAAGCCCCTCATTAGGGGCCCCTGGGTAGCTCAGTCGGTTGAGCATCTGACTCTTGATTTTGGCTCGAGTCGTGATCTCAGGGTCCGGGGGTCGAGCCCTACATCGAGCTCCATGCTCAGCCAGGAGTCTGCTTCTCTCCCCTGCCACCACCACTCATGCTTGCGCATGCTCTCTCTCTCAAATAATCTTTAAAAAATAAAATGAAATAAAAGCCCCTCATTAAACACTCTTATAGTAACTAATACTTACGTATGTACAATACATGACGTTAACTTAAGGACAAAGCCCTAAAGCGACTAGGGTTCCAAGTGTGGTCTGTGGAACCCCATGGGCCTCAAGGTTAAGACTATTTTCATAACACTAAGACATTATTCACTATTTTTTCACTGTGTTGACATCAGCACCGATGGTGCAAGACCAATGGTAGAGAAAAGTTAGGGCAGGAGCTCCACACTGTGCCAATCATTATACTCTACACCACCAGGCGCTCACAGTTTAAAAAACACAAAAAAACAAGGCTAATTTCACTTAAGAATGTCCTTGATGAAGCATTAAAAATTACCTGTTAGGGCACCTGGGTGGCTCAGTCGGTTAAGCGACAGGCTTTGGCTCAGGTCATGATCCCAGGGTCCTGGGATCGAGTCCCACATCAGGCTCCCTGCTCTGCAGGGAGCCTGCTTCTCCCTCTCCCACTCCCCCTGCTTGTGTTCCCTCTCTCACTGTGTCTCTCTCTGTCAAATAAATAAATAAAATCTTTAAAAAAAATTACCTGTTAATGTACCCCCTTGAATGCCCACCTCTTTAATACTCTGTGTAACAAAATGGGAAGTCCACATAAAGTAACTCTGGCTCAAGGAAAATCTTTTGTACAACTGATTTGTTAAGCTGAACTAGCGACTTTTTTTCATGGATCATCATTTTTATTTGAAAGAACAACTGATCAATTTATTCAGACTTAGGTATTTGGCAGGTGTGGTTACAGATTTCATACTATAATTAATCATTTAAAAAAACCTGCCATTTATGTTTTGGTATAAATCAAAGAATATCCACAACGATGTGAAAGGCGCTCCTCCCTATTCCAACTACACATCAGTATGAGCCGGATTTTCTTCATATACTTCAGCTAGGGCAGTATCTCACAAAAGTCTGAACACCACAGCAGATGAGAATCCAGCTATATTTCAAGCCAGACATTAAAGAGATGTGCAGAAAATGTAAAACAGGGGCACCTGGGTGGTGCAGTCGGTCGAGCAACAGACTCTTGGTTTCGCCTCATGTTGTGAGATCGAGCCCCACGGCAGAGTCCACGCTCAGCAAGGAGTCTGCTTAAGACTCTCTCTCCCTCTCTCTGCCCACCCCCACTTGCCCATGCTCACTCTCTAAAATAAATAAAATCTTGAAAAATAAATAAATCTTTTAAAAAATGTAAAACAATGATACTCTTCTCACTTTTGTTTTGGAAGATACAGTTACACTTCGTAAAACGTATTCATGTTAACATGTAATGGGTTTATCATTAAGTGAATTAATATTTTTAAAAATTGCTGTGTTGATTTCTAATGATAAATATTGACAGATATAACCCTTATAAACAAATCTCTTCAGGGTCCTTAATTTTTAAGAGTGTAAACAGATCCCAAAGCCAAAGAGTTTGAGAACTAGAGCTCTAAAGGAAGCATCCAGGATAACAAATAAATTGGCAATAGAGAATTATAAACGTCCAGTCTCATACTAAGATATACCCTATCAAGATAGAGGGGGAAAATCAAGAAAGAATATGATTAATGAATTAATGAGAAGAAACACAGAGATGGGATACACATTCACTCAAAACTCTTACACCTGGGTTTTGGTGATCAAGGCTTTATTTTATTTTTTTTTTTTAAGAAAAGGGAAATTCCATGTATCTTCATTAATCCTTAGAGCTTTTCAAATTTACCCCAAAGACCCTAGGTAGCAGAGAACAATCTCACTCCCCTAGAAGCCTGACTTTGATACCTTTATTTTAAAAATTCATATGTATTTCTAATTTTACTCCATAATGTATCTATTCATTTTAGTATTTTTAAAGGTTTTTAACTATTGTCTGGTTCAAATTTTATTCTAGGAAGATGCATCATTTCTTATTTAGATCAAGACACAAACACTATGAGTGCTCCAGGCCATTTCATGCCCTATTCCAGTCCTAACTACAACCCCACACCCCACACCCTCTCATGATTTCTAAGAGTGCAGATGGAATCATGCAGTATATCTTTTTTGTATATACCTTTTATTCAACATTATGTTTACAAGATTCGTCCAAATTATGTTTTGTGTGTTCTTAAAATGTACTTACTCTCACTGCTACAGAGCAGGGGTCCCCAAAGTACAGGAGCCAAGTCCAGTCTGCATACAATTTTCATAAGTAAAGATTTATTGGTAAACATCCATTCATTTACATATTGTCTACATCTGTTTTCTCTGTACCACGGTAGAAGTGTAGTTGTGACAGAGACTGTAGAGCCTGCATAACCTATTTCCAACATAGACCTTTACAGAAGGTCTGCCTAACCCTGCAAGCAGTGGATGGATCTCAAAGAGTGCTTCCCAAATCAGTACCACCTGTGAACGTGTTTGAAATGTAAATTCGAAGCAGGTTTTCAAACTTCACTTTGCATCCGCATCACATGGAGGTCTCGTTAAAACAGACTGTGGGACTCCCATCCACAGAAGTGGGTTGGGGCTGAGAATTTGCCTTTCACACGAGTTCCCAGGTAATGTTAAGGAGGCTGATCCAGGACCAATTTCAAGAACCATTACTAAAGCAGTGCTCCTCCAACTTGAATAAGCGTTAAGAATCAACTGGGGATCATGCTAGGGATACGTGGTTGGCTCCGTCAGTAGAGCATGGGACTCTAGATCACTGGATCACGTGAGTTCAAGCCCCACGTTGGGCTTAGAGCCTACTTAAAACAAAAAACTGGGGATCATGCTAAACTGTAGATTTTGATTCAGTATACTCGGCGTGAGGCCTAACCTGTAGTTCTAGTAAGTTCTCAGGTGTTGCAGAAGCAGTTGATCTAAGGACCACAGTCTGGGTAACAAAGCAGTAGAGGCTTTAGTTGAATGAATATGCCACATGAATATATGACAATTTATTTATCCATTCTACTATTAATGGGCATCTGGACAATTGCCAGTTTTGACTCTCATAAATAATGCTCTATAAATATTCTCAACATGTTTTTATTATGCATTTGTTGGATATATATCAAGGAAAGCACAACTATGTTCAACTTCAGCAGATAACTCCCAACAACTTTCCAAAATGGTTATTAATTTACACTTTTGTCACAGCAATGTATGAAAGTTCCTGTTGTTTCAAATCCTTGCCCAACACTTGTGTCTTTTTAATTTTAGCCATTCTATAGTTAGAATGTGGTTTAATTTGCATTTCCTGACAACTAATGAGGTTGAGCAGTTTTTTATTTTTATAGTTTACTGATAATTACGGTATCTTTTGATAAGTGCCTATTCAAATTATTTGCTCTTTTTAAAAATGGGTTTCTTTTTCTTACTGCTATATAAAAGTTCTTTTTATATTTCGGATAGATAAAAGTGCCTTACTGGTTCTATGCACTGCAAACCTTCCATTCTGTGGCTTGCCTTTCCACTTTAATGATGTCTTGATAAAGAAAACTGAAGGCATTTACAACTATAAAAATCAACCCTAATCTTATCAAAAGCAATTCACTTGTCCAAAAAACAAAATCCAAGGAAGCACTAACATATATGGTTCAATATATTACACGAAAGTAAAATAAAATTGACATTCACAAAAACAGGTTACGACATAAACAGAGGAAGATGAAACAGTCCTATTTCCAGCCGACAAAGGCAGTCTCCAGAGCTCAATTTTTGGAAGCAAAATCACACCAAGCAACTCTGAGTGTTGCATATCTTCTATATATAACTTTTCACACTCCCCTACAAATAAGCATGATTCACTCACTGGACCATGGCTCTAAAGCAAGCACTAAAGGTGGAGGCTAAATAAAGGGCTCAATAATTTAAAGATTCATTGAAGTCCAAAGAGCTGGTAACAACTCTTAGAGGCATCACTTGGAACAAATATGACAAAAGCTAGTTAAATCTTCAGGTTCATGGATTCTCCTAAGCCCCTCTATAAAAGATTGCTTTTACATTGCCAAAAGAATAAAATACATAGTAGCATAAGTGTAATACTTTACATTTTGCTTTAAAGCATGGGATGAACTAAATCCCTGATAAAATCTGTCAATCATATCTGGGCATAGGGCATACATTAATGATCTTAAAATTTCAATATCTTACAAAATTCACTCAAAATTAAAATTCAGTACTACTACCTATTTGATGAATATAGAATAACAAGCAAAGCACATTAAAGCCAGAGAAAATACTCTAATTTCCTTTTTTTGCACTAGAAAACCTGGTCCACCCATCATATATATCAACAATACTGATAACTTTTACCAGAAAAATCTATGTATTAGTGAATATTAACTAACATACTAGTTTTTAATCTAACGGATGAGAGTACTCCACATTTAATTCAAACTCACCCACAAATGCCCTGAGGAGGGTAAGAATACAAACTCGCATGCAGAGTAACTGAAACTATAAAATCATCTTCAGAATCCAAGTTCTTTATGATAATGGCATCTGCCACTCATCTGGCATTTCATGTTCTCCTACATAAAAAGAGGTAACCCTTGGTGGCGCCTTAGTGGCTCAGTCGTTAAGCGTCTGCCTTCAGCTCAGGTCATGATCCCAGAGTCCTGGGATCGAGCCCCGCATCGGGCTCCCTGGTCTGCGGGAGGCCTGCTTCTCCCCCTCCCACTCCCCCTGCTTGTGTTCTCTCTCTCGCTGTGTATCTCTCTCTGTCAAATAAATAAAATCTTTAAAAAAAAAAAAAAAAAGAGGTAACCGATCAAATGGTTTAAAGGTCGGGGTGAGTGAAGGGCCCTATGAGTGGTACGAAGTTCACTTCCCTTCAGCACCCGGCACGTATCACCAGAGTTCCAATAATCAGAGTAACTTATTTGGATAGTACCTAAATACATTAAGCCAAATACCTCTAATGTCCCGAAGGGGCCTGCATGGTGTTCCTATATATGAACTGCGATCAACCTAAACAGGATTTCCTAGGTCAGTGGTACTAAAGAGTATCCTGGTGTCTTGGAAAAATTAATGCCCAGCCCCTTCCTGCTTAGAGAGCAAGCTTCGAAGAGAAAAGAGCCAGAGTACATTAATATTCTTTTTTTTTTTTTCAGAGTACATTAATATTCTAATAGATCTTCGAAGTGACCAAACTAAGCACCCACCGGAACTCTAATCCTACTGAATTTTAAAGTTGTTACAAGGAAAAACAGAACATAAACGACAACAAAAAAAACCAAACAGAAAATAAATGCACATAAAAATGTGATAAGGAAAACAAGGTACCTAAAAACTAATACTAAAGAAAAGTGACTTTTGAAAGCTACTTACCTAGAACTATGAGGAAAATGCATTAACTAGAACATTTTTAAATCAGTTAATCTCAATATTATATGTCAGCAACAACATAGTAAAAATAATGTTTTCAGCAGAATGTTCCTTTAAATATCTGTCCCTTGAATGCATCTCATTAAATGCTGTCAAAAGATCATTTTTCTTGAAACTGGTTCTAATTATATCTTTCCTGCTCAAAATCCTCTCCCACTGCCTAAAAGATAAGTTCAAATTTCTTAGCCTAATACATTAAACATTCTTAGTGATAGGCCCTCTCTCCAACCCAATTTCCCAATCCGCCTCTTCATACCTTCTGTTTCAGGCAAAATAAACTCCCTATTCCTTATATACATCCTGTTCTCAGTACCAATCCATCCTGCTCACTCTGCCTAGAAAATCATGCCTCCTGCTCAAAGCTTACCAGTATTTTTAAAATCCAGCTTACATACCTTCTTTAGGAAGGTTTTCCTGCTTCCCGCCTGAATTCCCAGTCGTGCAGCTCTATTACAGCACTTAGCACTTCCTCATATTAACTCTTATTAGAGTCACCCTCCATACGAGAAGCTATTCGTTTATACACAGATGTGTTTACCTTTTTATTACCCATAACTGATCACAACGGTCACAGTTTAAATAACTGAAATTGGGTAAGCCATTACTCCACTAAGAGTCTTTAATCAGGTACAAGGGAAGGAAGATAGAAGGGATTGCCAATTATCATGAATGTGAGCCAAAACATTTAGTGGTTTTTCAAACCAAATATTTCACTACTACTTCTAGATGCTAAAATGTGTCTGATTTTACTTCTATCCTTTGGGGCCAGTATGCTTGAAATGGATTTAAAATACAGACTGTCTACAAGATATTTATACCTTCCAAAAGTAAGACATTTGTACATATTGGCCCTATGATCTCTACTGCAGTGGATAGAAAGTCCTTCATCTACAAAACTCTAACATAGCAACGGCAAGGATTTTCAAGGAGCAAATCTGAGAGGCAATTTAAAATTTTTAAATCAGATATAAACTCTTTTAAATCACAAACTTTTAATAAAGAAAAAGGGTAAAATTATGTCTGGGATGTAAAATAATTTCTAACCATCTAATACTGAGAATACTGGTTAAATCTCACTGAAGTGCACATTTCTATTCGTAATTTCTTACCAGAATTATTATATAGAACAAAACAACACAAATACCTCTGAGAGCCACAAATAGCTGTGGAACTAGTTACCCTTTTATATACTATTTTTAAGAAGATTCAAGAATTTACTGCCAACCCCAAAGTCAATTAGAAATAGCATATTAGGTGGTCAGATGTTTTCTATTCACCCTGAAATCAAAATAAAAGTCACCAGCCTAACAGCAAAGTAAGGGAGGGAAAAAATGAAGAGCAGACTGAAGAACTCACAAAGGCCAGCAGTCTGAGAGTATTTAACAAGGAGCACCCAAGCTTACCAGGTTATCTCGATGGCTTCATTATGTTAACAGCGTTAACACAGTAATTAATCCCCATGATGGGAAATCTTAGTTATCAAATAAATTATGTTCCTTAAAGAAGGTGTGATGTCATTTGGAAAGGCTTTTTTTCAGAAAGTGGTGGTTCTTTAACGGGATAATCCTCAATCCCTTAGAAAATCCAATTATACAAAATACTCCATTTCTCCTGGATAGAGAATGATTTTGTTCCAAGTTTCACGTTTTATGTCTTATTTATTAAAGTTACGATCAACATTTGTGGATCACCATGACCTTCATTTTAGAAGGAACAACTGATACAAAACAGTGCCAACACTAGGCAACAGAGTAACTATGACACTTATTTACACTTTCTTTAAAAGTAACAAGTTAATAACACTAAAAGTACTTGACATACAGCCATCACCTAATATTTTGTACCCATAACTGATAGAGTATACCTGTTTTTAGGTTAACTCTCTGGCACTTAATATTTATAAGCCAAAAATTAAGAAAATTAAGTTGTATGTTCACTCCAATAGTCAATTCTGGTTTGAGGGTTTTTAACTTGGTGATTTTATTTAACGTTAAGTAGTCTTTGTGTCACGAGACACATTTACCATTACCAAATCATCCCACCATCACTACTCCTCTCAATGAAGCCATCGAGATAACCTGGTAAGCTTGGGTGCTCCTTATTAAATACTCTCAGACTGCTGGCCTTTGTGAGTTCTTCAGTCTGCTCTTCATTGTTTCCTCCCTTACTTTGCTGTTAGGCTGATGACTTTTATTTTGATTTCAGGGTGAATAGAAAACATCTACCACCTAATATGCTATTTCTAATTGACAATGCTCTGCATAGATATAATTCTCAAAGAACATCTCAGAAAGCAATCTAAGAAGGCTCACAGGGATTAAAGTTATCATAGCTATAAAGTGAGGGCAGAAATTGGTCTGATTTCCTGTTGTGTACCTACCACTCATCAAAAGGTCAAAATTAACCCAAATGAATACTTAAAGTGCATTATCTTAACTTGGTTGTTATCCAGTAAGACCATGCTATCTTTGACGCAAAGTGATGCTTCTGCACCAGGCATGTAGAAACCTGCAGGACAGATCTGCACTCATTTGTCCACATCCAACTGACCTAATCAAGAGCAAATCTGAAAGACCAGCAATAACCATAGAAAAAACAGAACTGGCTCTTATAACACACTGGCAGCAACCGAGCCGTTCCAATGGGCGAAATCCTCCACAAACTACTAAGCTTGGAATCCCAATTACACGCTTTAGAAATATTAACTGAAAAAAAAAACAGCCCCGCAGCTGGTAGGCCTGTTCATTTAGGCATCCAACCCTTTTGCCAATTCACCACCTAAGAAATTCGACTGAATCCCTCACATTCAAAATGACTAAATAGTTTTCTAGGTAAGTGACCTCATCTATTTGGTACTACTTCCTAGCCAGTCACATGTCTGCTTCGGACTGGTTGGTAGGAGAGAACCTGGCCTCTAGCAAACCATCACCGGTCCATTTCTTAGGGAAAAGCCCCCAGGAGAGACAATGGACGCAGGGAACGGACCAAACCAAAGGAGATGGCAAAGGTCAGGAGAGAAAGCATCGGATAGACAAGCTTTGAGAACACTCATTTCCAATTCTACAGATGCTCAGTAAGTGGGATGAGAGTGGTTAAAAGGAATGTGTAATGCTTCTCATTTGAAGTGGGGGGGGAATAAAAAGCTAATTTTCTCTAAGTTCACTGGACTGCATCAGTTACAAGACGGTGATTATCCAATGACTTGTCACAAAATCTTGTGCCTAGCTCTGGTAGGCCGAGACCGACGAGCAGCGGTGGCTGAAGTCGAAGTAGGAAACGCAGCTGCAAGCGCTCCCGCCCTCCCCCACCCCGCCTGGTGCTTTTCCGTTTCCAATCGAGAGGCCATCAACCGTGGAGGAGGCGGAGGGGCACCCACACCCCAAGCGGGCTGTTTCCCTCGTTTCCCACCCACTTTTACTTCCCCGTCGCTCTGCATTAGGCCACCCCCCCCGGACCGGTTTCTCCATCTCCAGGTCTGTCCTTGCATGTCTGGGGCAGACCCCCCCACCCCGGCCTGCGCGGCGGCCGC